TTTTCATTCCAACCCATCCAGGGGTCTGTCCACACGTCATGTGTCACGATAAATCCCTCTCTGCGGACAGGAAGCAACTAGAAGCGCTGGTAGTTTAAGTGGTTATGCGTTGGGCTGCTCACTGCGAGTTCAAAGGCACCAGCCGCTCCATGGGAGAAACACGGGGTTTTCTACTCCGGTAGAGTTAGTCTCAGAAACCCACAGGGGCAGTTCTACCTTGTCCTACAGAGTCGCTGCGAGTCCACAACTGCTCGATGGCGGTGAAAGCCCTGTTAGAGAACGCTCATGCATTGCGGATGGATGTGTAACGTGGTATGACCACTCTAGAAGCTAGGTTAGCATTGGCTTATAAACACACTACTGCCATACATCCCAGCAATCCCACTCAGGAATTTACCCAAGATGAACGAACACGTTGGGAAAACCAGGAAGCACTCTGTGCTTCCGTTCCCTCTTGTCAAAGTGGAGCTAAAACCAGTATCTCCACGTGAAGACAAGGAGCCCTGGCCATCCAATTGCATCCTCCGCTGCTAAATGAAACGCCGGTGGTTCCCACCCACCAGCCATGCGATGGGAAGAAGCTGTGGCAGTCCACTGTTACAGATTACCGTCCAGAAATCCAAGGACTCTCCTCTGTCCCCACCACCACCACCACTCTGGGGTGGTTTCCAACTCATGGTGACTCTATAGGACAGACTAGAGATGCCCACGGGCTTCCCATGGCTGTAAATCCTACAGAGGCAGCCTGCCACATCCTTCTTCCCCAGAGTGACTCGTGGATTTGAACTGCCAACCTGTTGGCTAGCAGCCAGTTGCTTGACCGCTGGATCACTGGGGCTCCTCGACTCTGTCTTTGGAGGTTTCACGGAGTTATCATTGACTCAAGAGTGGCCTGCGACCATCGAAACGTGCCCACGCTGAGACCTGGAGGTGGTCGTTCAGAGCAGCTGTGTTCATCATTACCCCAAACTGGAAACAACCCAGACATCCATCAGGAGAGGACGGGGTCAATGGCAGTAGACTCGGTTAGCCCTGGTTAACTAGAGAGGCAACTCCAGAGATGCTCATATGTGTATAAGAAAGAGCTATATTTAAAAGATTAATTGTATATTAAGAAAACATCCCAGTCCAATCCAAATCAAGTGCATAAGTCTGATATTGGCCCATATGCCTGATACCAATCTGTAAATTCCTTTTCAGACTCGCACAACACATGCAATGACGCCAAATGCGGGAGGAGGATCACAGGTCAGTGGGTGGAAAGTCTTGTGGATCCAGTGCAGTGGAAGCATCTCAGCACTGGCGTGGGTCCCCATGTGGCTCTATCAGCTCCAAGAGTCTGGCTCCATCCGCATAGCTCCATGTGGCTTGTCAACAAGAATGTCTCTCAGTGGGAGTGTGTGTGTCCCACTTCCAGCAAGCTATTTATCACCATAGCGCCTCCAAATGAGGTCCTTAAATTTCCACCTGACTGACAGGCTAGACTCTACCCCTTCCCGACAGGAGATTATCTAACTCCCACAGAGACCCACACCATGAATATTACTCAGACACAAAGAGGCATGAACGGATGGATATACACACAGCATGGCTGCATCTCAGACAAGATGGTGAGTGAGAAAAACCAGAAACCAAAGAGCACACCTGTATGTGTCAGCCATGGAGGGGGAGCTATCTCCCTTCGAGAAAAACTTGATCCGCTGCAAGCTCAATTAACGAACTCTCTCCAGCTGCCTTGCCCCTGGGATGATATGGAAACCTTGTTCTTCACAGACAGCCTGCCCTGGGCACAGAGGGACTTACCAAGGCCTGGCCAGCTTGGCTCACCTGGACTCTGTAGGAACTCTTTGTACGGGAGTTTCCCATACAAACCTCTCACAACTTGGCTGAAGCCTGAGACTCCTCTTGTGCAAGCCGCCTTCCTTCCACCTCTCCTGCTGCCTGGGCCAGCCCTGGTGAGCTGGACCCCAGGAGCAGCCTGCTGGCTTACGAGCATCAGACCTGCACGTTCTCCCTGCCTGCCCCTGCCCAGACTCCCTCTCCTGGGCTCCATCTCCATGGTCCCTGCAGCTCTGCCAGCCCCAACTCTTCCGGGGGCCCCTCTTAACATACATGTTTCATTTTTATGAAATTCCGAGAGGCAAAACACAATCTTAAGAGAGAGAAGTCGGATCAGTGGTTGCCTCCAAGAGACTGGCTATAGAGGGGCAGGAGGACGCTTTATGCAGCGATGCCAACGTTCTCTGGCTTGACTGTCACCGTGGTTACACAAGCGGGCTTCACAAAGTTGACAGGGAAAAAATGCTGTTATCTTTTCATTTTGTTTTTCTACAAACTTTGGGCGGCTCCTCATAAATGTCAATTCCTAGTGGGCATGGCTGTCACAGACTGAGCATTTATCAAAACAAACAGAATGGTACGCTAAAAAGGCGAGGCTCTACTGTGTCTAAATTACACCTGTGTGTTTTTAAAAGACGAACAATTCATCAGGAATTGAACCGTTTTTACTGATTATCACGTGGTTATTTTGAATATACTTTTGTCAGATAGGTGAAGAGGGTGTTAAAAGGTTTTCTGTTCCAGGTTTCAAATATGCTAGGGAACCCCCTGACAAAGGGAGTCAGCAGTTTGGGGTATCAGCCAACAATTAGCACAGTCTGAGTCAAGGAGGGCTTCCTGAAGGAGGTGAGGACGCCCTGCTAAAGAAGGAGGATTCCAGGTGGGATGAGTCCCCCTTACTACCCATCTGGGCTTACCCCTCAGCTCACTTCTTGACCGTTTCCAGGGAGATGGGGAGCTTGGAATAGCCACATTGCGGTCACCTGGCAACCAGGAACTAGTGGCTGCAGCCAACAACCGAGTTCCTGCCATCATCCTGGGCCATCATCTCAGGCATGGGCTCTGCACTGCCCAGGTAGTGGGCGCCCAGCCAGGGAGGCACCTTCCACCTGCTTCCCTTCTCAGCCCCCTGCAGCCCCACGGGCCTACCTGGAACTCTTGCTGAGGGAGGTAAGTCTTCGGAAAGTGCTGGCTGGCCCAGGGGCAGGACACTGCCAACCTCCAGTCCCTGGGGAGCCCCCGGGGGCTCCCTTCCCTGGAGAAGCCTGGGAACAGAGTAGCAGGAGCATCGTTCTGGACCTCAGGGGACTCACAGCCTGCCAGAGAGACGGAGCTCACACATTCTGCCAACGCACAGGTGCCTGTGCTGCTCGGGGCTGGCTGCTGGGCCTCACGTGGGGCCGAGGCTCAGATCACCGCCACTCCTCCTCCCACAGCCGTCTCTCAGCACCTGCTCCACCTGACAGATTCCCAAGCTCCCAGAGGCAGGGAAAGAGGGAAGACACTGCCCAGTTCCCTTACTCTGGGTAAGGATAATGCTAAGATGCCTCCTCCTCCTCGCTCCCGGAGCTCCCGGCTCGGCTCAGCTCCAGTACAGCTCCATCGGTGACCAGTTTGACCGAGCATATGATGAGTGGGGACTGACTTGATGGCAGTGGCAGTTGGCCCCTTTCCTGTTGCATTTCCCTAACTGCTGCTGTCTCCTAGACGCAGCCCCCAAAGAAGCCACTTGCATTCAAATCCTGTTTCAGCCTGGACTTGTGTTGTGGTGGTTGTTAGACTCACAGAGACCCTCCGGAAACAGAAGGAAACCCCGCCTGGTCTCACTCCATCCCCACAATCACACCTATGTTTGAGCCCGGGTCGCAGCCCCTGTGTCAGTCCATCTTACTGAAGGGTGCTCTCTCTTTAGCAAGCATGAGGTCCTTCTGCAGGGACTGGTCGCTCCTGAAACCAGGTCCCAACAAAGTACGTGAGACAAAGTCTCACCCTCTTTGTCTTAGAGCAGTGGTTCTCAACCTTCCTAATGCAGAGACCCTTTAATACAGTTCCTCGTGTTGTGGTGATGCCCCCAACCATAAAATGATTTTTGTTGCTACTTCATCACTGTTTTTTGCTACTGTTATGAATCTTCATGTAAACATCTGATATGCAGGATGTATTTTCATTGTTATAAATTGAACATCATTAAACCATAGCGATGAATCACAGAAACAATATGTAATTATATATTGTGAAATATTTATTTCTAATGATAAATGAAATTTTGTCTTGAAGCATGGTGTAGCATGAGTAACAGTCTTCATGCAGGGTACTTGTATGTGGGCATATTGGCATGTGGGAGCGGTGGCTCAGTTCCTAAGACCATTGGAAATGTGTTTTCCAATGGTCTCAGGCTACTGCTGTGAAAGGGTCGTTTGACCCCCAAAGGGGGATCTCGACCCACAGGTTGAGAACCGATGCTCTAAAAGAACATTCTGACCGTACTTCCTCCAAGACACACTTGCTTGCTCTTTTGGCAGTCCATGAGGGAACCCCAACTAAGAGATGATGTGAGGCACAGGTACAGCCAATAATTGTACAGGTACTAGCAATGAACCAACAGCCAACAGACGAGGACCGAGGGTTGTCTTCGCAGCTGAGGCAGTGTGTGTGTGTGTGTGTGTGTGTGTGTGTGTGTGTAGGAGTGGGGGTGGAGGGCTGTCGTCTGTAAAGCACTGAAAACCAGTAACACTGTAATCAGAACATGCTTACAAAGCAAGCAAACAGACATTTAAAGATTTATTCATGAGAGAAGCACCTTGCAAGGGCAGATGTGAAAAGGTTTACTGGATAGAGAAGCAACTTGCAAAAGGAGGGAGGGAGGGGCGAGGGCAACTCAAGCACATCTCACCAGCCAAGAAGAAGGAGAGGCTTTTGAGAGACTATGGCATTTTGGACGCCGAAGGCAATGGGGGCAAGACCAAAACAAGGAAGCCCGAAACTATGGGGCTTCGGCGTGGAAAGGGAAGCCGGCTCTGCGTCCCGGGCGGTGCACGGCGGCGGAACCTCACGCGTCGCGCTTCCGTTTCCAGCCGGGCGCGCGATCGCGCAGGCGCGCCGGCCCCCCACTTCCGGGTGCCCCGCCCCGCTCGCCCCGCCCCCGGGCAGCTCCATTTAGGCGGCGGGTGGCGTCCGCGTTAGAGCAGGCGGAGCCGGGCCCGCCGAGTCGATCCGTCTCGGAGGGCAGTGTCGGCTCACCGTCCTCGCGACCCCTGTTCCCTCCCTCCGCAGAAGCTGCTGGCGCCCATGGCGGGCCTGGAGGTGCTGTACGCCTCGGCCGCGCCGGCCATCACCTGCGCGCAGGACGCGCTCATCTGCTTCCTGCACTGGGAATTGGTGACGCACGGCTACCGCGGCCTGGGGGCCGGCGACCAGGTACGCTGCGGAGCCGGGGGTGGGGGTGGGGGGGTCTTGAGCGCGCATCCAGAGCGTCTGCCGGCCTCCCCATCCGCAGTGCGGGGGCCTGCGGGCTCCTGACCCCGCTGCCGGAGCCCGCGGGCCGGGCAGGTGTTCACGGGCCCTCGCCCACCCCCGAGCGTCTCAACACGGCTGGCACGACCTGGCCAGGAAGGCCCAGGGCAGAGACTCCCATCCGCACAACCTGGCAGTGCCCCTGGCCAGAATGGCAGGGACCTGACTCCGGGGCTGTGGGGGTAATCTTTGGAGCACACACCCCACTGAACTGCGTCAGACCCCTCAGCTTGGGGGCCGGAGACCGTGCACACCCCTCTGACACTGTACTGAAGCCCCAGACAGCCATGGAGTAAGCTTTTACCTTACTCAGCCCGCGGTGTGAGGGCCAGGGAAGGTTTCCTCCTCCGGAGCTGCCCCTCCTTGACCACCGCCCGTCTGCCCAGGCCAGCGCTGTCACACGTGCCCTTCGATGGATACTTGGAATCCTGGTGGCGTAGTTGGGCTGATAACCGCAAGGTCAGCAGTTCGAAACCACCAGCCTCTTGGTTGCAAAGGAGACAAGGCTTTCTACTCCCATAGAGTTGTACAGTTTTGGAAACCCACAGGAGCAGCTCTAATCTGTTCTGTAGGGTCGCTACGCTATGAGTCGGAATGGATTCTATGCCCGGGAGTTTTTCTTTGGTTTCAAGGGTTGCAAACCTGCAGACTGGGATGGCTGGTTCTGTTGTCTCACAGGATGGTATCTGCTTTTTCCCTCCCAGTGCCCCTGCTGCTGGGGTTACACTGGTCCCACGCAGGCTAAGCCCACTGAAGTCCAAGTAGAAGTCAACTGGAGAGGCATCTTCCTTTTCGGTTTATTTTTAAAACCAACCAAATAAACCCACTGCCGGCTTGCTGATTCCAACTCATACTGAGCCTGTAAGTTTAGAGTGGGACTGCCCCATAGGGTTTCCAAAGCTGTCAATCTTCACAGGAGCAGCAGCTGCCTTGCTCTTGCTTAGAGTTAGCAGTCTAACCCACAACACCCCCCGGACTCCGAGCTAAGTGTGGGGTTTCATTGTCTGGCTTGGGGCCTACAGACTCTGCCAAGAGAGATGGTGTTTACCAAGTGCAGCAGCCGTTTGAGTTGCTTCTTCAACCACCTCCTGCTCCCCACCCTTGTGGGGCGATAAGAGCGGAAGGGCCGGAGAGTGTGTACTTGACCTTCAGCAGAAAGCTGAATTGTCTCCTTTTCCCTTGGGTTGTTTGGTCTACTCTGGTCCGGGACAGTTGTGACAAAACTTCAGCTAGAAGAGAGTAACACCATCATAGCTTGAACAAAAACCCTGGGCCTTGGCCAGAGAGAGACGAATAGACTTCTGCTAGGGAATTCTGCTTTCTGTTGTAAGTCGTGAAGGATTATGAACAAGGAAGGGAATTGCCAGAGACTGGCGTGACCTCATGGCCACTGAAAATTTCTTCAGGCTCTATGGTTGTGCCTACTCGACCTGGTGAACCTCCGAATTCTAAAGCCAGCCGCACCTGGTTTCCTGTGACCATGGGCTAGCCCTAAGCTGGGTTTTTCATGCCAGAGAGCCAGGCTACATGACCTTGCATTTTGGCCACTTTCCAGCCTTCGAATTTTGGGAGGGCTGATATTTGATGTCAGGGCCGAGCAGGAGGTTGAAATGGTGTGTTTGGCTAGATAGCACCAGAGCCAGGCCCTCTCAGTCTCGCTTCCATCAGTTTCCCCTGTCAGGCAGCCTGGGGACTGCGGGCTCCGGTGCAGGGCCAGTGATCCTTTCTTCTGGAAGCAAGAGGCCATGGTGGTGAGCAGCCTGAATCGTCTGTATTCCAAGGGAGAATTCTGGTGGATTGAATGGTGTACATGGGAAGATGTCATGATACCAAGGAGCTTTAAACAGTTTGTGGGAAAGTGAAATGGAAAGATAGTGGGTTTTCTTCCCTTGAACTTTCTGAAGCCCGAGTGTAAATCCAAAGGCCTTCCACCGAACAAAGACAAAGCATATTACAGTATTCAATCCCTGGCTTCCAGAATAAGCCTGACACCCACAACCCCGAACAGGCTTGAGGCCACTGACTGAGGGGCGTGGAGGGGGAGGGAGGAGCTGTGGTGGGTGTTAACTTTCTCTTTCCCCTTCAGCTCAGCCACTCTGGTTCCCTTAGTTTCACTTTGGTTTTTGTCTCTGCCTTGTCTACTCCAGGCCTAAATATCCTTGTCATCCGAACCTCGAACCCACTGCCATCAAGTCCTAGCAGCCCATAGGGACCCTTATGAGACAGGGTGGAGCTGCCCCTGTGGCTTTCTGAGGCTGTAACTCTTTACAGGAGTGGAAAGAGGCTGTAACTCTTTACAGGAGTGGAAAGAGGCTGTAACTCTTTACAGGAGTAGAAAGCCTCATCTCGCCCTCGGAGCAGCTGGTGGTTTCAAACTACTGACCATGATTTTCCAAGTTTATATAAATGACGCTAGGCTGTAAACCTTATTTGGTTATTTATCTTTCTGAGCGTGTCTCTCTTTAACTGTCATTGTGCACCCTACAGTGGCACACATGGTTGAGCTTTTGAAAGGCCGGCCGTGCAGACCCACCTGGGCCTGGCGTTCGGCTTCCCAAGATCACAGCCCGGACAGCCCGTGGAGCAGTGCTACTCCGCACACAGGAGCTGGGCCTGAGTTGGAATTTCCTGGTTGGCAATGTAGCAGCCACAGGCGGGGCTTTCACAGTCGTGGAGGTGGCCTGATTCTTCAGCTGGGGGAGGGGGTACACAGGCATCCATGTCTGATTCTTTTTATCTTATACATAGGCTACGTTGGTGAACAACATTGTGGAACCACTGCCATACAGTAGAATCCCGTTTGTTTTCTGAAGTTTGTTCATCATACACAGGGAAACGTGTGCCAGTTGAACCATTTCCAGCCTGAGCAATCGCTTGGCACCAATACAGCCTTTGAGCTGTGCAGCCCTGCACGCCCCACTCCCCGAGCTGTTCTTCCCTCATTAACATAAGCTCATTGCCCCCTGGCCTTCTGAGCTCATCTTTCACGTGGCTGTTGTTGATTGGGTCCCACCTTAGATGGTTCAAAGACCTTTTAAAGCTAAACTGTTGTTCGGGTTGAAGCTGACTCTAGGGCAGTGGTTCTCAACCTTCCTAATGCCGCCACCCTTTATTGCAGTTCCTCCTTGTGGTGACACCCCCCCAACCATAAAATAGTTTTTGTTGCTACTTCATAACTAATTTTGCTACTGTTATGAATTGGGCGACCCCTGTGAAAGGGTCCTTAAACCCCCAAAGGGATCATGACTCACAGGTTGAGAACTGATGCTCTAGGGGATATATTGGGTTTGAGGTTTAAAACTCTCAAGGCTCGTATTATTGTGTGTGCATATCTGTCTGGACAAGATAGGCGGGATGAACAATCCAGAGGAGAGAACAATGGGACCGGCAGTTTCAGGGGGACTTGGGAGAGGGGGAGATGGAGGAAAAGGAGGGAGGTGCCAACAAACCCAGGGACAAGTGATCTAAAATTGATGACGAGGAGGGCATAGGATGCTTGGGGGGAGGCCTTGATCAAGGGCAATGTAGCCGAGAGGAATTCCCAAAACCCGAATGAAGGCCGAACATGATAGTGTGACAGGAGGAAAGGAGGCATAGGACAGTTGTAGAGATCTAAATACAGGCATGTATAGTATATGTAAATACATTTATATACAATGACAGGAATAGAGATATGCACATATATTTATTTATAAAGTATTACAGTTGCAGATGGACATTGGGCCTCCACTCAAGTACTTCCTCAACGCATGAACAATTTCTACTAACATGGCACTCTATGATGCTCACCTTCCCTGACACAATCGCTGAAGACAAAGCGGGTACATAAGTAAATGTGAAGAAGAAAACTGATGGTGCCCGGCTATCAAAAGATATAGCATCTGGGGTCTTAAAGGCTTGAAGGTAAACAAGTGGCCATGTAGCTCAGAAGCAACAAAGTCCACATGGAAGAAGCACACCAGCCTGCGTGATCACAGGTGCCAAAGGGATCAGTTATCAGGCACCAAAGACCTAAAACAAAAAATCATATCAGTGTGGATGGGGGGAGGGAGGCAGAGTGGGGACCCAAAGCCCATCAGTAGTCAATTGGACATCCCCTCGCAGAACAGCCTCAAGGAAGAGAAGAGCCAGTCGGTGCAGCATAGCACTGATGAAACACACAACCTTCCTCTGGTTCTTTAATGCTTCCTCCCCTCCCCCAGTCCACTACCATGAGCCCAATTCTATCTTACAAATCTGGCTTGACCAGAACATGTATACTAGTACAGATAAGAGCACGAAACACAGGGAATCCAGAACAGATAAACCCCTCAAGACCAATAAGGGGAGCAGCGATACTAGGAGGGTAATGGTTGGGTTGGGGAGGTGAATAAGGGAGAAGCGATCACAATGATCAACGTATGGCCCCGTGCCAGGGGTACAAACAGAAGAAAAGTGGGTGAAATGAGACAGCAGTTGGTGTAAGACGTTTTTTTAAAATTAAAAAGAAAAATTTATGAATTATCAAGGGGGCATAGGGGAGGGAGGGGGGAAAATGAAGAGCTGGTGCCAGGGGCTCAAGTAGAAAGAAAATGTTTTGAAAAAGATGACAACATGTGAAGCTGTGTTTGACACAATGGATGTCTGTATGGATTGTGATAGGAGCTGTAAGAGCCCCCAATAAAATTATTTCACCCCCCCCCCAAAAAAAACCCTCTCAAGGCAATAGTTTGAAGGGTCACCCACCCTCCCTGGGCTCCAGAGAGCCTGGAGTCTATAAGAATTTGAAATTTTGTTTGCATCTCCCCCTTTTGATCAGGATTCTTCTGTGGAATCTTTGATCAGAATGATCGTTGATGGTAGCCAAGCTTCACCCATTTCTCTGGTCTCACTGCTAAGGGGGCATCCCATAGCCTCCTCCTGGTGCCCTGTCTTCTCTCCGTGGCTCCAGGTGGAGGGAGACCCCTTGCTGTGCCTTTGCTGGCCACTTCAGGCTTTTAGGACTCCAGGCACCGTGACCAGAACGAGGAGGTGGAACAGAAGCATTAAGGGTGTTTGCTGGCCAATGAACTGGGGTGCCCCATGAGAGCAGGACCCTCCGGGAGGAGTCTGGTTACACATAGGCAGCCTCAGCAACTACTCTTTTTTTATTTTTAACTCGACACTTCATGTAATTTTTCCACCCCTGTTAGCCTCCCCTTTCCCTTTGCCTCTGATAACCTCTCAATAAACTTGGGTGTGCAAACATTCGCTTTTCTTGTCTTTTTATCTAAGTGAGGTCATGCAGGGTGTCTCGAGCTCCAGCCACACTGCAGCGTGTGTCATGCCTTCATCCGCTGGCCGAGTAGTAAGCAGGCTGTTGTGTGTGTGTACCGCATCTTGTGTTTCCCCTCGTCTCTCGGTGGGCCTTCAGGTTGTTTCCACTTCTGTCTGTTGTGAACACTGCAATGGGCTTGGGGTACAAGTCTCTGTTTGAACCTCTACTTTCCAGTCTGGGGGCCACACTGCTTTCCACACCGTCTTTACCAACGATGGGTAAGCTTCCAATATCCCCACATCTTCCCCGCTGTTGGTTAGTTTTTTATCTTAGCCATCCTGTTGCTGCTGTTGTTTGGCGCTGTCGAGTTGATTCTGACCCATAGCGAGTTTATGCACACAGACGAAACGCTGCCGAGTCCGCCGCCATGCTCACAGTGGTTCCTATGCGCGAACCCATTGTTGTAGCCCGCTGTCCATCCATCTCGCTGAGGGCCTTCCTCTGGTTTGCTGCCCCTCCACTTGCCCAAGTGGGATGCCCATCTCCAGGGACTGGTCTCCCCTGACAACATGTCCTAAGTATGTGAGCCAAAATCTCACCATCATTGCCGCTAAGGAACACTCTGTCTGCCCTTCTTCCAAGACAGATTGATTTGTCTTTTTTGCCGTCCATGGCACTTTTGATATTCTTCACCAACACCATAGCTCAAATGCATCAATTCTTCCTAGTGGGAGTGAAATGCTACCGTTTTGTGGTTTTGATTGGCATCTCTCTGTCAACTGATGACACCGAGCATCTTTCCTTATGTCCGGTAACCATGCATTCAAGTGCTTTGCCCACTTTATGATCAGTACATCTCTTTTGTTGTCAAATGTGTGTGCTACTAGGTTCATATCAGACGTGCTTTCTGAAGACAGCCTTTTAGATGGCAGCTTGCTTTGTGAAGTCTTTTGATGAAAGGAAGGTTGCAATTTTTACAATGTCTCATTTGTTTCTTTTGTCTTTTGTTGTCTTTGCTTTATGAAACCATATTCGGTTGTTAAAAGCTAGAATTGACAGCGTTGCCTTTGTGTTTTCTAAGAATTTCATGTTGTTACTTGGCATGCTTACATCCTTAATCCATTTTGAATTTGTTTTTAATATATTGCGTGAGCATGGATCCCGTTTAATTTTTTTACATGTGGAAATTCAGTTTTCTCGACACCATTCACTGAAGAGACTTTTCTTTCCCCCTTGAATAGACTTGTTAGCGCCCTGATCAAATACCAGCTGAGCATAGACGTGGTCCTCCACTTTGTCCCTCGGGCCGGAGTATCTCAGTGCTGTTCTGCTTCCTGGAGCTGAATAAACCCAAACCAGACCCACTGCCCTGGGGTCTATTCTGGTGCACTGTCGCCCAGTGGGGCAGAGCAGAACTTCTGTCTTTGAACATTGCTTTAGCTCTTCGGGGCCCTTTGCAGTTCCATGTAAAGTTGAGGATTGGGTTTTTGTATTTCTGTAAAGAGAGGCTGTTAGAATGTTGATCAGGAGGGTATTGAGCAGTGCTTTGGACAGTACTGACAACTTTGCGACATTAAATCTTCCAGTCCATAGTCGTGGATGTGGCTGTCTTGTTTGATAAAGATCTGCAGCCTGGGAACTCCCTGATGCCATCTGTGCCCTCTCGGGCCCATGTCAGTCAGACCTCACAAGCACAGGTCTGCTCTCTGCTAGCAGTGTTTCTTACTTGTTATCATATAAGCCCTCCGTGTGTCTGCTTAGCTTTATTTCTAGGTACTGTACTGTTGTCAATGGAATTGTTTCCTTATTTTCCCTTTCGGATTTCTCTCTACTTACGTAGAGAAACCCAACTGTGTTTTGTTGGTTGACTTTATAATCACCACCATCCCAACTTGATTCCCCTTTTAGTTGAAGACATTTTCTGGTGGATGGTGGAATTTTCTATGTATAGGATCATATCATCTGCGAATAGAGAAGACTTCACTGCTGCTTTTCCAGGCTGGCTACGTCCTTGTGTGTCGTCTTCTTGTCCTATTGCTCTGGCTAGGATTTCTAATACAATTTGAGAGGAGTGGTGAGAGTGGGCACCCTTGCCTTATTCCCATCTTCCAGGAATGCACGTCATCTTTTGCCCCCGACTACAATGTTAGCTGGTGGCTTTTTGTATCTGCCCTGAGTTGTAATGAGAATTTCCCCTTTCACTCCATTCTCCTTGGGGGTTTTCATCAAGAACGGAGGTTGGGTGGTTTCAGGTGCGTTTCATTATGCGATTGATGCGGTGTATTGCACTGGTCGAACTATCCTGCATTTCTGGCATAAAGCCCATGTGATCGTGGTTTTATGACTGTTGCTCTCCTGTCAAATGCCGTTCGCTAGGATTTTGCATCTCTGCTCCTAAGAGAGTGGCCTGTCGTCTCTTGGGTGTCTCCAGCTGGCTGAGTGTCAAGGTGATGCTTGTTCTGTAGAGTGAAGTAGGGAGTAGGCCTTCCTTCTCCATCTCTTGGAAGAACTTAAACAGTGTTGGTGTCAGTTCTTCTCTGAATGTTTGGTAGAACCTCCTGGAAGCCATCTGGCCCAGGAACATGTTGTTGCTGGGAGGGTTTTGAACACTGGACTCTCTCTCTCCACCTGTCTGGGTCCGCTGAGAAGAATCTGTATGCTAAGAAAAACTAACCCTAGCCCAACGTTGCAACTTGGGAAGCAATGCCTCAGGATTGAGATGGATGCCTGTTCTCGAGGGGAGATGATAGGGAAACACCTGTTCCAGGTTCCTGAAAGGTTAGGGTGCTGTGCAGTGAAGGCAGTTGGCTGTGGAGGAGAGAGCAGGATGCCAGGAACCCACAGACCTGGGTCCCAGACCTCTGACTTGCTTTGTGGCCTTAAACCAGTCACATCTTTCGACATCCACAACCTCGTGGGTGGAGTGAGGAAGTGGGTTCCTATTATCTGTAAAGGTCTTTACAATTCTGTGTTCTGAGATCATGAGCTGCCTCCTTTCAACCCTGGGTGTCTTCTCAGTCAGGTCCAAACGATAAGAGATCAGAACTGCTGCCAGCTGGGTGGAACCACAATAAAGACCTCTATGTGCTCCGCTATGAGTTTAAGGATGAATCCAGAAGGCTCCTTGTGAAGGCTGTCACCGTGGAGAACAGCATGATCATCAATGTGCTGGTGAGTCTCCACACCACATTGCCATCTCCGGATAGCAGTGGACAGTGGAGTTGTTCCTTGACGAACCCATTGAACAGTATGGATCAGGAGCTTTGAGTGGACCTTTTCCCATTTTACCCCACGACTAGAACTCTTACCTGAGGCAAGAATTCCAAAGTGCAGGCTATCCCTGGTATTGGAAACAACATCAGTTCCCAAGTTACATTTGTTAGGTACATGTGTTAGGCTGGGTTGTCTAGAGTGATATTTGTATGTATAAGGAAGAACTTAATATCAAGTAGTAATTTCTTATCAGAAAGGCAGCCCAGCCCAGCCCAGTCCAGTCCAACTCAAGTTCGTAGATCTGATAGGGCTTTCTTCAGACTCGAGTAGTTGCAGGCCGATAGGGCCGACATGTGAAGTGGGAAGCAGGGAGCTCACAGGCTGGTAGGTGGAGAGGTGCATGGATCTAAGATTGGTGGGCTCATGGCTAGGCACACACAGTTTGGAGTTTGGCTCCTAGGGTCAGTGGCCCACATGGGACCACCCCTCACGGCAGAAGGGGGCAAAAGAGAGAGGAAGTGTTCTCAGTTTTTCTCTTACACAAAAGGCCACACCCCCAAGGAGGTGTCATCTGGCTACCACTTGATTGACAGATTGGACTCCACCCCTACCTCCACTCAGTTGACATTTCCCCTATTTGCCACAGTTCATTCAGAGCAGGTGCATACAGTTCCTGTTTAGGCTTTAATGCAGTGGGTTAGTGGCTGCTAATGCAAGGTTGGGCGTTTAACTCGCCAGCCCCTCTGCAGGAGAGAGATGGGGTCGTCGGCTCCTGTAACACTCACACGCACAGCCTCGAACCTTAGGGAGCAGTTGTCCTGCAACATCACGATGAGTTGGATTGCTTTGGAATTGCCTCGGCGGCAGTGGGTTTTTTGGTGCAAGCAACGCCTTTTCCGCGATATAAAAGCCACAGGTGCAGCAAGGGGAGCGGGAATGGTGATGAAGAACAAGTTGCATGTCATTTTGTTTCCCCTTATTTCCAGGACTGTGGCTCACAGCAAGTAGCAGACCTGACTTTGAACTTGGGCGATTACATCGATGCAGAACACCTGGGTGACTTCCACAGGTACCTCCCAATGCCATCTTCTCCCTGGGCAAATGAAGAGAGAGCATAACTAATACACTACCAGCACTCCTAACTGCCACCCAATTCACTATAAAATAAAATTAAAAGGGATGGGATCCCCCAGTCACTAGGCCAGAAACCTGGCTCACTCTGGATACCGCCCTCCCTCTCCCCAGTAGACTGTTCATTCATCCCAAAGAGTTCTCCGGCTGGATTCAGAAGAGGACATGGAACAAGGAATATCATTTGTAGATGCCACGTGGATCTTGGCTGAATGCAGAGAATATTTACTTGTGTCTCATTGACTATGCAAAGGTATTTGGCTATGTACATCGTAACCAACTATGGATAGCATTGAGAAGAATGGGAGTCCCAGAACACTTCACTGTGCTCTTAGGAACCTATACATGGGCCAAGAGGCAATTATCTGAACAGAACAAAGGAACACTGCAGGGTTGAAAACCAGGAAAGGTGTGTGCCTGGGTTGTATCCTCTCACCATACTTCTTCAATCTGTATGCCGAGAAAATCGTCGGAGAAGCTGGACTGTATAGGAAGAATACATCAACAAATTGGAGGAAGGCTTATTAACTGTAGGGACTAAGGTGTGCCTGACCGAAGCCATGGTATTTCTGGCCAATGCGTGTGAAAAGTTGGTCAATGAATAAGAAAGACCAAAGAAGAAATTGATGCATTTGATTTACGGTGTTGGCGAAGAACATTGAAAGTACCATGGGCTGCCAGAAGATCAAACATCTGTTTTGGAAGAAGTACAGCTAGAATACTCCTTAAAGGCAAGGATGGTGAGACTTCAGGTCCCTTGGACATGTTATCAGGAGATAGTAGACCCTGCAAAAGGACATCATGCTTAGTAAAGTAGAGGGGTGGCAGAAAAGACCGTCAGTGAGCTGGATTGACACTGTGTCTGCGACAGTGGGCTCAAACCTAAGAACAATTGTGAGAACGGTGTCGCGCTGGCGCTCTTTCATTCTCGTGCATGGGGTTGCTGTGAGTGGGAACCAACCCGATGGCACCTAACACCATCCAGTGATACAGTGACTCTCCCCTTTTCCTTCCCTGTCCACATAGTGTGGCTACTCTAAAATCCCTGTTTTCTATGCCCATAAATACCTTATTGAGATTTTTATTAGCGCGATCCTGGTGGCACAGTGGTTAAATCGCTTATCCTTGAACTGAAAGGTCAGCACTTTGACCCTACCAGCCACTGCACATGGGGAGCTGTGGCCGTCGGCAGGTCTTGCCCCCCATGGAGCAGTTCTACTCTGCCCTGTGGGGTCACGGTGAGTGGGTCAACTCGACAGCATAGTTTGTGAGTTCAACCTGCAGACCAGCTGGGGAGCACCGATACCTTTTCCACCTAGCACCTTCTCAACCATGAACATAGTATGCTCCTCTAATTTCACTTCTTGATCGTTTTGTAATTCCCAGCAGACAGATACTGTACATATTTGACTGTGTACCAAATATACTTGTATATAAGCCGAGTTTTTCAGCACATTTTTAATTCAGGTTTTGTGGTAAAATTAGGTGCCTCGGCTGATATTCGGGTCGGCTTATAGAGTATATACGGGCATTCAGCATTTTCTAAGAGGCATGATTCTCATTGGCATTCTGTTTTGAGTATTGATCTTCAGGTGTCCAAAGTTAGTATTAATTTTTGTGTGTTGGTGGGCCCTGCCACCAACTGAACTAAAGCTATGGTAGGCGTTTTGAGGGGAGATTCTTAAATCCCGTCTCAACCCCACAGCCAGAGCTCTCCTGGCTTTTCCTTCCTGGCAGGGAGAGGGGGCTCTGACAGGGTTGGGGAGAGAGACAGGAGCAACAGAACTCAGCCTGAAGCCCCAAGAGCCCTGCCTCCGAGGCCCCGGAACCTGGCTTACTGCCCCCTCCCCCACCCCGTGGAGCCCTGCCTGCCTTGACCCCTGACATGGGGTGAGCACACAATGAGGCTGAGGGCAAGGCGGGCGGGTGTCTGCAGAGGGTACCCAGTTCAGGCCCTGCATCCTCAGCTCTTTCTGATGGGGCGGTGAGGCGGGGCAACTCAGATGCCGAAGACGCTTAGGCCCAAACCGCAGAGACAACGCCGGGCTGTCGCCCCCTTCACCCAGGTCCGCCGGACGGCCTGTTCCCATCCTTGCAAACAGACCAAGCGTAGCCGTCAGGGTGGCCGCCGCCGCCGGCAGAACACTGGGCAGAAGGCCGCCAGCCAGCAGCAGGCCGTTGACACCTCGTCTACCTCCTGTAGGGCCTACAAGAACAGTGAGGAGCTGCGGTCTCGAATTGTGTCTGGGATCGTCACCCCTATCCAAGACTACTGGGACAAGGCCAGCGTGAGCAGCCCTCACAAGGAGTTCCCGCCTGCCACTGCCAGAGAGGTGGACCCCCTGCGGATCCTCCCACAACACCCCCACACCAGCCGGCAGCCTCCCTGGTGAGTAGAGTCCATCTGCAGGGGGATTCCAGTCCCCCCACTGGGCCCCTCGTCCCCCATGTCTTCAGCCACTGCGCCAGAGGGCTCCGCGTGTGGAGGTAGCGCGAGATCAGTGGACAGCTGGCACCCTGCGGCCAGTCCTTCCCTGCGCAGCCTCGGGGGGCTGCCTGTCTCCTTCCTAGAGGCTGCCCGCAGACCCCAGTCAGTGCCTTTGGGGCCGCAGCAACGGTCTGAGGGTTGCTACCAGATGATCCGTGGTTCCATATTCCGAATTCTTGGGTCAAGTTTTCTTGGGAGATGCAAAAACCAAGGCAGCCCCATCGAGTTCTGACTCTGACCGGTTTCACAGGACTTCCCTCAGCATGTACCCATTTCACTCCAGTGTAGCCCCTTGAGTCTGACCGCAGCCGCCTGGTGTGAGTAAGTCACTTCCCAGGTCTTTGGGGTTCAGGTGGCAGCAGTTAGGACTGGAAACTGCCACCCCAAGGCAGGGCCGGGGAGACGTGTCTACCGCTGAGCCGGCCCCTAGCTCACACAGTGTGGTGTCATCATAGTGGGGGTGGCTGCCCGGAGGGGCGCAGGTTCACCCGAATACTGGCTGCCACACAGAGTAAGGGCCCAGCAGACGTTAGCGGCCATGCTTAATCCGTTCTGGTTTGCAACTTTGTACCTGAGATTAGTTACCGGGGAACCAATTTAAGTGGTTAATTAAACCAATTTAATTTCATTATTAAGGGTAATAATTGGTGGCTCTATTTGGAAAACTTCAAAAACCCTGGGTCCTGAGTCACCAGCCATGACACAGGGTCAGGGCTGGGCTCTCGGTGGCCTCCCTGCTTGTGCAGGGTCCCGGCTGTGATCTATCCCGGGTGTGGTGGCAAGAGTTGAGATTAAGCCCTGGACAGGAAGCACGGTGGGGAGATTTTGACTTTAGTATCTCTCTCTCACTCTCTGAGCCTCTGTGCCCTTTGAAGACAAATAGGCTGGGAAATCCCATCTACTATCTTGAAATGTACCTGTAGGTGAAGTTCTCTTAGATTTGACAGGGACAACAGCTGGCTGATAGGTGTGTTGTATCAGTCACTCAAAACTTGTGGGTACAACTTGCTTTTTCTGAAATGCATGTGGCTGTGTAACTCCTAGGAACCTTGTGGACAGGTTATTGAGTTACAAGGACAATCATGCATCCCAAAAATGTCTGTGCCTTTGAAGGGAGTATAAAAAATACTGCGCGTTCGTTCATACATAAAATGGCCTTTAACTCTGGTGATTGATAGAGGTTCAACCTTTAGTTGAACATCTGGCAGGACGTCCGCACATTGTGCACTTTCTGGGGTGTTTCTCCACTGTGTGGGACTCCTGGGGGTCCAGCAGCTCTTTTGAGGTCTGTGCCACCACCACCACCACCACTGTGCCAAGCAAAAATGCAATCAGAGCTTCCAGAATGATACCTGGAGGCTCTGCCTCCCAAACTGGGAATTAGACAGAGCTGGAGGTGACAATTATGAAGGTCAAGATCCTTATCTTGAGAGTCCTGACCGAATGAGATCGTTGTGCTGCACAGCTGCTGGTGCCATGTCTGCAGGAGCAGATTCTAGTGACTAACCCGCCAGGTGGGAGGCCAAGGCATGGTGTATACTGACCACACCTGCACCCGGTGAGCAGCCAGGCAGGCCCTGCCTCCTGCAGTGAGGCCAAGGTTTGCTCACCGCGACTGCCCCCGGCTGGCCGGCAGACAGGAGGCGGGCGCGCCACAAGGAAGAGTTCCAGGGACCCATGATGAGACAGAGCAGGGGGACATTTCACAGGCAGGTGGGCTCTTTTTCCTCCATAACATCAGTGGCATCGGGAAACAACAATGGAGGAGTTCTTACCGATTAAAAGAGATGTAAGAGTCGTGTCAGCGAACAAGTTTGAGACCACTGGGGAAATTTGAGCATGCACAGGTATTATACAGCATGAGATAACGGCTCATTTTGCAGGTGAAGTAATTTCTGGTTAGGGTGGTTAGTTTAAGAGCAAGCTTTATGTCTATTAGAGGCATTTTTGTTGGAGCATTTAAAGGTGAAACAACGGGTCTAGGGTTTTCTTTGAAATCATTTCCACTGCCAGAAAGGACAGGCACGTGGGAGGGGTGGGAGAAATAGGCACAAGAAAGACGGTAGAATACTGATCATTAGTGAAGCTGGGTGGGAGGGAATTCAGTGGCTCATTACACTTTCATCTTCCTTTTTTTGGTATATTGTTAAATTTCCTTCATAATGGAATTTTTACTAATACCAATCTTTCACAAACTATACCCAAATATAGAAGAGGAGGAAGAAATACTTCCCAGCTCGTTCTCTGAGAGCAGTATTACCCTGATCCCCAAACCAGACATAACCAGAAAACTATACATCAGTCTTCCTTAGGAATGCATATCTGAGAACCCTTATGAAACAAACTACAACCCTAACCCACCCCCAAGAAAATCCCTGGCAAATGGAATCCAACAATATATACAAAGGGTTATCATACCCCCCAAAGCGGGATATAATCCACATGCTCTTGGCGCTCCTGTTCAAATTCTACCGCAGGTTCCAGCTGGCGTCATCAGCCAAAAGTGGGGAAGAAAGTTAGAAAATAAGAGGTTAAAAAAACTCTATGAAGGGGCTTCAAAAAGTTAGTGGAAAAATTAAATGGAAAGTAAATGGAACTTGCTTTTTGAAGGTCCCCTCATATTTGCAGGTAACATGAGATTTTTATGTATAGAAAAGCCTAATGACTATCCAAAAACACATAGTAGAACTCATAAATGACTACCCTAAAACCCCTAGCTGAAGGAATAAGCACTTAGAAATAAACTTAACAGAAGCGTAAGAATTATACACCGAACTTCCACACATCGAGGAAAGAATACCTAAGTAAATGGAAAGACATCCTCTGTGTATGAATCGCTAGGCTTTCTATTGACATTGCTCCTCAAATTAATCAGAGTCAGTGCCGCTGCAGTCAGCATCCCAGCTGGGCTTCCTTTGTAGACGTTGACAGAGCTGACCTGGACACGCAAGGGGCCTCGAGCGGCACAAGCCATCGGGAGAAAGAACAAGTAGGCAGCGTCACACTTCCCAATATCAAACCTTCACTGTAAAACGACAAGGATTAGAACAGTGGCACTGGCACAAGGACACATGTGTAGATCACTGGGATTGAATGGCACATTTGGAAACAAACCCACCCGTTACGGGGTATGGCTTTTCTTTTTTCTTTTTCTTTTTAAATCAATTTATTGGGGCTCATAAAATTCATCACAATACATAGATCAATTGTGTAAAGCACATCTATACA